AAGATAATTTTGTTTTGAACTTTCACAGAAACATATGTAACTCTTTTTTCTGTATCGGTAATTGATTTTAAATGCATGCTCAGTTCTGAAACAAAATCAGAAAGTAATTCAATTACTCCTAAAAAATTACCATTATTTGGTTCAAAGAACTTTTTGTTGCTGCCCCTAAAAGCTAAATTTTGTTCACTTAAAAATAATACCGCTTTTACAATTTTACGATTTAAATATTCTTGTAGCTTGATAAAAACACTTACATTGTAATTTACACCTAGGTATATTTTAATTTCTACTGTTTTGTGTAAAATAATTCTCCATAATTTTCTCAACTAGACCAAAAAATCATTCATAATTCTATTTTCTATTAAAGATATATAACTAATAATTAATTTAGATTGCACTATTTATTATAACACTTTGCTTTATTTGTTATAATACTCCAATAACAAAGTAGATACTAAAACAAATACAAAATAGATAATAAAACAAATACAAAGTAGATACTAAAACAAATACAAAATAGATAATAAAACAAATACAAAGTAGATAATAAAACAAATACAAAATAGATAATAAAACAAATACAAAGTAGATAATAAAACTAAATTACTTTGACATAATTGTTAACAAACTTTTTATTTTATTATTTGGTAACGCTTAACAAAGGTTTAACACACAATCTCTTGTTTATGGGTCTATTACCACCTCTGTTTATGTGTTTATGTTTGTCATGTTCACATTTCACCATCACTGTTTATGGGTTTATGGGATATTGTTACCTATGAAATAGTAAGTCAAAAACTTTTGCAAAAAACTTTAACAACTAATAAATTCTAATCCAGCTTCACTTTCACTTTTAGTTTCATAGCTTCACTTCTTACAACATCCCAGTCACAGTCTTGCAAAAATGTTTTTCAGGACACAATACACTACAAACTATTTAACAAATGAATTTCATTTTCCTCCAAGTTAGAAAATGGATCTTTGGTTTCTATTTTTAAAAACTGATGATGAACTACATTTCAATTAACTTAATTAATTAATTTTCAATTAATAAGGTCTTTAAATCTTTAAAATCTCATATTGAACTTAAACTCTAATAACAAATTTCAATCTTCTTCCTCTATATCTGGTTTTCTAATCAACAGAAAATTTCTATTATGCGATAGATAGAATCAATGTCATACAAAATACATAGCAATATTTTTTTAGTAAGAAGGTTGACTGTACATTTAGGTACATTACATCTGTGCAAGATATTTTTATTTCATCATCTTTAGTCGTTACTCAAACAAAAGATTTAAGAAATTTTAAATCAGAGTTAACTTCTTCTTTTCTTTGTTTTAATGGTCATTAAAAATGTAATAACAAATCTTTTTAGTATGCTTTATAAAAAAAAAATTAAATTATAAATTAAAACATTACACTATTTAAATCTTTTTTTATACTAGATTATTTTTATTTGATATTATATATAGATGAATAATAATCAATCACATATATACTCTAAAAATAAATTTTCACGGCTATTTACAAATAGTATTGGAATACTAATCTCGAGTAAATATACAATTAATCTTAATAATAATAATATTAATAATAGTAACAATAATAATAATAGCATAATAACAATAATAACAATAATAATAATAAAGTAATTATAATAATTTAAATAAACTGGTATTACTTTTCATACAGCAATGATTTTTACATACAAAGTTACAGCTACAAACAGTAATAAACTGACAAAACATAACAACTAACGATGATTACTATTGATTGATATACATTTTTTTAAATAAGTATAAAAGCTTAATTTTTTTATTTAATTCTTTTACACTATTAGTTAAACGATTGCAAAAATTTGTTTTATCCCTATATTAAGCCAATTGATTTGTTTTATCCATATATTAACTCATATGATTTGTTTTATCCATATGTTAAGTCACATTATTTATTTTAACATTTTTAACATTTTTAATTGAAACTTTTTTAAATTATGAATTTATATTTACAATTGAACACACTCAAACTCATGACTTAGATAAAAACATTAAAAAGATTTTTTGGAGCTTGTAAAACTTAATGTATACTATTTAAATTATTTTTATTTATTTATACTATTTTTATTTTCTTAAGAAACTGTTTTTAGAAAATATTAAAATAGTTTCATACAAAACAAAAAGTTTTATTTAACTGAAAAAGATCAAGTTTTAGGAAGCAATAATTCAATTATTTTTTTCTCAGATAAAAATAATTTTTACAATTATCACAATTATTGTCATTGTTTTTTAAAACTTTGAAAAAATAATTTAAAACTAATTTTGAAATAATTATTTAGCTTTTAAATCTATTTTTATAACAATTGCAATCCAGTTATTTTATTGATGATAGAAATAATTTTTTGTTATGCAATCTAACAACAATTAAATTAAGATACATGAAACTTGACATTTTAATTACACCAATGTACCAATTAATTTACTAGATTAATTAGTTAAAAAAATACTAATTTATTTAATATTTATACTCATTAATTATTTAATATTTGAACTCATATTTTTCTTGTGTGTTATTAATAACAGTTATATTCAAAAAGTTAAGTATCTTAATTTTGTTTTCAACTTTAATAGTATGTTTTAAAGAACAAATTTTTGGACTTCATTTTTTTCATACCTAAGTAAAAGAAACCATAATAAAGGTGACCTCAAAATTTAATTTAATTTTTGTTATTATTTAAAGGTCACAATTTTTGTAATTATATTATATTATATGCTGATGATGCCTGTGCCTATAATCCGGCGAAAATTTCAAATAAATTATTTAGTATTGAGAGAATTCATATTATCTGATGTTTTAAATTAGTTTATATATATATATATATATATATATATATATATATATATATATATATATATACATATATATATATATATATATATATATATATATATATATATATATATATATATATATATATATATATATATATATATATATATATATATACACACTTGTACAAGATGTCAACATTTAAACCATATATATATATATATATATATATATATATATATATATATATATATATATATATATATATATATATATATATATATATATATATATATATATATAGCATTTAATACTATTGGTATATCTACTACTGTTGGTATATCTAACACTATTGGTACATCTAATACTATTGGTATATCTAATACTGTTGGTATATCTAATGATAAAAATACTTCAATATATCTAATGTTGGTATATCAAAAGCTGCCGTGACTTCCATGTCAAACACTCATGAATGAGTAACGACAGCAGCAGCATTAAGTTCAGTATTAAAATATTATAGGGTTTTTTTTTTAAAAAGTTTTGAATTATTTAATACGAAATAAAAAATTTGGATTGTAAATTTTTTCATAAAAAACTTCAGAATTTTCTATTCAACTTGATAAAACTTTAAAATAGAACTTTCTATCCAACTCTTGTTGTGATAAGTTATTTATTATAATTATAATTATATATATTATATTTATTTTAAGGAACTACAATTTTCCAGATATTCTCACATCTAAGGTGGCATTGTTCGCTGATGATACTACCATTTATTTTTGTCACGATAAGAAGCCAACTCCCTCTGATTGCTTGCAGGGGGCATCTGAGCTCGAAAAGGATCTCACTTCTGCTACAGCATGGGGCTCGCAGTGGCTGGTGAACTTTAATTCAGATAAAACTCAATTTTTTTTGGCCAATCGTTATCGCAATAATTTAGACCTTCCTATATTTATGAACGGTAATGTACTTGATGAGTCTCCTACCCTTCATCTTCTAGGATTAACTTTTACTTCTGATATTTTTTGGAAACCTTATATCAAATCCGTTGCAAAATTAGCATCTGCTAAAGTTGCTTCTCTTTATCGAGCTTGTCACTTTCTTACTCTGGATTCTATTCTCTATCTCTATAAATCTCAAATCCGGCCTTGTATGGAATACTGTTGCCATATCTGGGGCGGATCTTCTAATGATGCCCTTTCTTTCGGACCTTCTAATGATGCCAACCTTCAACCTCTGTCACATCGTCATAATGTTGCTTCTCTTTCTCTTTTCTACAAATACTATAATGGGCACTGCTCTAAAGAGCTAGCGTCTCTTGTGCCATCTACAAAATTTATTCTTGTGTTACTCGTCATTCAATTAAGTCTCATCCTTTTTCTGTTACTGTTCTTAAGTGCTCCAAAAACTCTTATTCGTCTAGTTTTTTTCCTCGAACATCAGTTCTTTGGAATTCGCTTCCTTCATCTTGCTTTCCTGATTCATATAATTTGCAATCTTTTAAGTCGTCTGTCAATCGTTATCTTGCTCTACAATCTTCATCTTTTCTCTTCCAGTAACTTCCAACACTAATTAGTGGTTGCTTGCAACCTTGTTGGAAGCGAAGATAATTAAAAAATATATATATATATATATATATATATATATGTATATATATATATAAATATATATATATATATATATATATATATATATATATATATATATATATATATATATATATATATATATATATATATATATATGTATATATATATATATATATATATATATATATATATATATATATATATATATATATATATATATATATATATATATATATATATATATATATATGTATATATATATATATATATATATATATATATATATATATATATATATATATATATATATATATATATATATATATATATAAAGAGAGAGTAAAAGAGAGATGAGAGAGATAATAAGATATATATAAGTTAAAATATAGTTGCTAGATATATATATTGTTCATAGCAACAGTATATTGTCAGTAACAACAAAATCTCATAATAAAACAACTTATTTCAGTTAAGTCTCATTAGTTAAGCACAATAAAAATTTAAGAAAATGGAAAAACTTTGTAAAAAAATTTGTACCTCAAGGGCTATCAGTAAATAAAAAAAAAATTTAAATATTACCAGATGCTGTCATTTGAGCAAGAATTAACAAGTAAAGTGATACAGCATCAATCTGGAGATGACCCCAATCATGATCACCAACAACTGTTTTGCCAGTACCTATTTTATATAATCACTTATAAAGCTATTTAATATAAATCAACTATAAAACTAACAAGAACATTATGCCACACACCCCTTACCCAAACTCCCCTATGTATAATTGCTTTATTTATTGTAAAAGGAAGAAAATAAACAAAAATACTATACTTTAATTATCTTAATGATTACAGATTTTTTTATAAATTTTAAAAACCCTAACTCATTACCTTACCTAACTTTATAAATACTCAATGTAAAATAGGTGGCCTATATGTTTTTTTTTACTAAATAATCCATATACTTAATTCAGGTAACACACAAGCTTATTTCATAAGGTATTAATTAATAATAATATATAAACAACATGCAGTAAAAACGCAACCAACTCTTAATAAAGTCTAAAAAAACTTAAAATTGTTAAAGATATTTTAACTAAATGCATAAGAGCTGGTATCTATATGATAAAACCTAGAAAATGCAAAGGTATTAAAATGTGTTAAAATTACATAATCAACTTAACATTAAGATTTAAATCTGGCAAATAAAGATGTTCAGTTCAGCCAAGGAAAACATCTGATAATGAAAACATTTTCACCTATACATGCAACTATGATGTTCAAAAAAATAGTATATATAATAAAATAAAATTAATCTAATTAATCAGCTTCAAAAAGCAATATAACAAAAAATAGTTAACAAAAATGGTTAACATAAGTCATCAAATAAAAAGACTATATAGTGTTAACAATAACAAGCTGACTTAGCAACTCAGCGATAAAAACACTGAACATAAGATCTTAACAATCTGAGTGCATAACAGAAGATAAAACTTGCATAAAAGAATAATTTAAAGCCTACATACAATTTACAAATAGATAGATAGATTTTTGAGAAATATGTTATGTAACATGGCATTAAACAAATAACTACAAACAAGTTGAAGAAATTTTTGGAATTAGTATACCATAATAAAGTTAACTTGCTTACTTTTGCTTACATTCTAAATGTAATTTTGTTATTTTTTGCTTACATTCTGAGTATAACTTTTTCAGTTAGATATGATCAGAACCTTTACAGTTAGATATTAACATTTTGAGTATAACTAATTACAAGAACCTAGTAGTATCATCCTTTACATTATAGTATCTAAATAATTTTTGTGTATTTCAAAAATTTCTCTTCTATCATAATTTTTTTTTTTTGCAAAAAGAGATAAATGGTCTGATTTTCAACATTAAAAATTATTTATTAACAAAACAAGCAAAAAAAATTTAAACTTCAAAAAAAATTTCAACATTTTCAAAATTAAGAAAATAATTGAGAAAATTCTAGAACATTTTCAAATTTACATGTATCCATGTAGACACAAATTGTGTCTACATTTCCATGTAGACACAAATTGTGATAAACAGTTTCTCAAATAGAGAAATATATGCTCATCTCTAAAGCATAATCTTTTGTAAACATGAACAATAATAGCAACAGCAAAGAAGATGTTGCAACAGTACAAAGAAGATATTACTGAGTGAAGCAACAGTGCAATCAATGATAAAGAAGTACAAGAATAAAAAGTGCATCCAAAATCTGCTTAGTCATGGCAGAAATAACTAATAAATTATGACATACAAAATACATAGCAATGTTGAGACATCAACTTAGACCAGCAAAGTATATAAAGCAAGGTTAACATCTATCCAAGCCTATTAGATAAAGAAAGAAGACAAGGTTGGCCTAAAGAAATTTTTTGCTTACCACTAATTCCTTTGCCTAAAAGGTTGACTGTACATTACATCTAGAATATAACAGTGACAATAGATCAATTAATGGAACAAAAACTAAAACTCAACTAATAAGATCAATTCTTACTGTGACAATCAAATCATATGATGGATTGTTTTATCATTAGCAGATACTGGAAGAAATACTATTTTTAAAATATTAAACCATCAATACAGCAACTAGAACTCAAGACAAACTTGGGTAGCTAGCCACTTGTTACAACTAAATTTCCAGACTTTTCCCTGACTTTTTATTGACTCTATTGAATTTTGAAGCATGAATTGATTAGAGGCAAACTGTACTTATTTATTCAAACTGTACTTACTCAACTTACTTATTCAACTAGTTCTTATTATTTGTAAATACTTTCCATTTTAATATAGGGGAACATTAAAAAATAAGTGTATTAGATATCATAAAGAAGAAAATAATTTAAAAGTATTTTTAAAAGTTTTAATTCAAAAATAATTTAATTTCATATATATATATATATATACATATATATATATATATATATATATATATATATATATATATATATATATATATATATATATATATATATATATATATATATATATATATATATATATATACTAAATTTCAAAGACAATTGTGCAAATTAAGAAAAGAAGGTAAACTAGACACAAATACATACTTTAAAATGTATCCATCAGATTGTAACCCAATAAGGATTTACAGAATGATTAAAGCTCACAAACCAGAAAAAGATTACCCAATGCGCCCTGTTGTATCAACAATTAACACACCACCTTATGGAACATCTGATTATCTTGTTAAAATTATTCAACCAACTCTGAACAAAAATAAAAGTAGACTTATGAATTCTAATAGTTTTGTAAATGAAGCTAAGCAATGGATAATAGATCCTAATGAAGTTCAAGTTTCATTTGATATAGTCAACTTATATCCATCCATACCCATTGACGAAGCAATTCCGGTTATTAATGATTTGTTGAACGCTGACATTGATGACTTAAAAACTCGAACTAAACTTACTCTTGCAGACATACATCAATTAATTGAACTTTCATTAAGTATATGCTATTTTTTATATGAAAACAATATCCAAATAATACCTAATTCAGGCCCTATAGGTTTATCTTTAATGGTTGTTATGGCTGAAGCGTTTTTACAAAATATAGAAAGAAAAGCCCTTAACATAGCAATTATTCATACATCTGAACCAAAAACTTACAAGAGATATGTAGATGATTGTCATGCTCGCTTTGCTTCAATAAAACAACAACAAATGTTCCTGAACATCCTTAATGAACAACATCCTGCCATAAAATACACAGTGGAACTTGAAAACGACCTCAAACAACTCAATTTCCTAGATATTAACATTACAAACACAGGCTCTGGAACTTATGAATTTCAAATACATAGAAAAAAAGCTATTACAAATGTTCAACTTAAACTTAACTCGAACATTAATCCTAACATTATTATTGGCGTTTTCAAAGGATTTTTATGTCGTGCTAAAAGAACATGCTCTCAAAAACACCTTCAAAAAGAAATTGATTTTCTAATAGACATCTTTGTTGAAAATGGCCATGACAAGAACATTCTAAATAATATTACTATAGATTATTTAAAAAACGGTTCAAAAAACACCACATTTTAACAAAAAGATACCCAACCCTTTATAAAACTACCATGGATACTAATTGTTGGTCCAAAACTTCGTAAAGAATTTCAAAAGCAAAACATAAAGGTTATTTTCACATCAACTCCCAATTTAAAAAATATTTTCTGCAACAATAAAACTAAACTACCACTAAACACAGACCCTGGCGTATACCAGCTAAAATGTTTATGCGGTTCGATATACATTGGCGAAACTAAAAAGAAGGTGATATCGAGATGTATTGAACACCAAAAAAACAGCTTAAAAGGAAAATGGTCCAGTTCGGGTGCAACTGAGCATTCTAAAACATGCCATGGTAAGTTTGATTGGTTGCACCCCAAAACATTATCTGTAGCCCCAGAATATTGAACTCGGAAAATCAGAGAGTCACTCGAAATAAGCAAGGCTAGGGTTCAACAGGATTAAGAAATGGTGACATGGTTCTTAATCGGGATGACGGTGATAACGTAACAACCAAAACCATTTTTTAATAAAATCTGCTGACGTCAGTTGTTTGAAAAGTTTTTTTTTCTGTATTATATTATGGCTTTTTAATGTTATTATATTATATATTTTCTGTATTATATTATGGCTTTTTAATGGTTTGTTTTTACTATAACAATTTTGTAACTATTTTGTTTATTATACCTGATGACGCTGATCACAATAGATCAGCGAAATATCGAAATAATTATATATTAAAGAAAAAATATATATATATTTAAAAAAAGTTTATACCCAGCCGTATTTATTGAATTCTAAAAATAATTTAACGTATAACAAGAAAATTACATTCAAAGATTATATATATATATGTATGTTTATATGTAGTTATATATATACTGTTACATTATATGTAACAGTATATATGTAAGTCACATGATGGCAATTTAGGCTTCAGCCTAAAATATAATAATATACACCATCAGCCATATATAGAACATCTGAATTAAAACTTTCAATTTATGCATTTCCACGTGACAAAGTAAAGACGATTGTGATAACTTCAAAGTATTGTAGTTCTGATTTATAAAACAGGGTAAAAAAACATCAAACCTATCTTTATAAAAATTATAATTAGAAAATTTTAATCTATGGATGCCTTTAGCAAGATCACATAAATTTTGATGCAGATTATTGACTTTATCAGTTATTGGAGCATTAATCCATTAATAGATTTTTCATAAATCTATTAATGCTCCAATATTGGAGCATTAATAGATTTATGAAAGATTGTGAGTAATTTGATCATTTGTTTTTTTCCAAAGTTCAAAATAGAGCATATAATAATTGTGTTTAAAATTAACATACTTCTTGTTTATATTTTAAAGAACTTCTTTCCCTCAGTTTATTAACAACTCCGACTTAAAACTCAATACAATCACTTAGAAATTGTAACTTCTGATATTCACTCATTTTTATTTTACCAAGTAGCAACTAAGTTGAATTCCAATTTTTTAATAATACTTGTTTCTGGTGACATTTGTGGGCGGTAAATTTTATTTTTATTAGCTTTATAACAAACTTTTCCCCCCTCTAATTTATCTTTTTTATTAAAGTTCTGTATGAATCTCGTTAGCTTTTTAACTTCTTGGTTTAAGAAAAGCAAATAAAGAATCTGACTAAGTCAAATATTGCAAAAGTAATTTTAGCATACATTTAGAAGATCATTGACAGCATCAGTAACAATATTTAGAAAAACATTGATAGCATCTGTAACACTGTTTACAGCATAAATATTAGGTAGTTTTACATTATCATAAATGTCTAAGGTTTTTTGATATACAGATACATTTTCAATCCATTTTGTTAATCAGCTAAACAAGAAGCTAATGGCAATGTATCAGATAGAAGCATGCAATAGATTTATAGATTAATACATTTAATTTTATAGATAAATACATTTAAAAAAAATTAAAATTAAAAAAATCTTAGAAAATATTTTTCCCTGATTTGGGAAAAAAAGGGAAAAACCCTGACATTCCTAAAAATATTTCCCTGACTTTTACATAATTTCCAGTTGGCTGGCCACCCCGAATGAATATATCCTAGCATATTGAATGAATATTCTAGCATTTTGAATGAATATTCTAGTATATTGAATCACAACTATGCAACTTGTAAATAGATTTTTTGACATGTTTTGAAACAACTTTGAAAGAAGAGAAAAAAGGTGAATGAATAACTTGAACATGTTTATAAATCAAAATAGTTCACCTAATTTTAAACTCTAATGAATGAACTCAGAATGTAAGCAAAAATAAGAAAGTTATACTCAGAATACACAGTAAACAAAAATAAAAAATTTTATAAATCAAATCACTTAATTTTCAAGTCTAATGAATGAGAATGAAATCTCTAAAAATTATATTAATTAGATGCTATGTACAGAATAATAAATTTAAAGATAATAAATAATAAATTCTATTAATTCTCAAAAATTAAAGAGATGTATTGACATAATGGTAGATGAATAAAAAATTTTTTAAAAACTCATTGAACAAATATTCACTTGGGGCAATTTTTAACTTTATTTATTTCATAATTTTAACATTAAATATCTATAACTTACATAAAAAGCTGAAAAAACTTGAAAATTGAATTCTGAATGGTTTATATACACATGTATCATAATTAATTTTATCATCAAAATATAGAAATTAGCACAACTTTAATAAACTTGGGTCCATTCCTTCAGAAATTTTAAATAATTTTTAACTTTATACAACTATTATACTAGTTTATAATTGTTTTTAAACTTTTTTAAAGAAATTTTTTGATTTTGTGACAAAATAATTTTTTCACGCAACATCCTTGTTGCAAATTTTGATAAATTTATTTATTTTATTTAATTTATTTTTATATAAATACTTTAGATCAACATTTAGTCTCATTCAAGAATTTTTTAAATAAAACAAAATATTGCAATTTAACACTTGTATTCATAGAACAAGATCTAAAAAAGCCCTATCCACTACTATCCACTACTATCTATTACTATCCACTACTATCCACTACTATCCACTACTATCCACTACTATCAAATTTTCCTAACCACCACCATAACAACAACTTTACTACCACCATTACAACAATCTAATCACCACCATTACAACAACCTTACTACTACCATTACAAAACAATCTAACCACCACCACTACAACAAATTTCATTCTTTTTCACAGAATCATAGATAAATAGTATTGTAATTAACTTTTTTTTTTTCAAATTAAAAAAAATAATTATAGCAAACCTAAAATATTCAAATTATTAAAACCTATAATTATATAATAATATAATAAAATTAGTGATTGGTTAAAATTAAACAATTATATCTTATTTAAATTATTAACATATTTGGATTTAATTTTTAATATTGATTTTTTTAATTTTTACTATTTTTAAGTACAATTAAAATTTTATCTAACAATCTTGTACAAGCTATTGTGCATATCTATATTGTACATTGATTACTATTGATTTATAACTAAAGTTACTAAAGTGACATAGACAAAAACTTTGACCATCAAATTAAAAAAATTAAAATTCATACGACAACAATATTTTGCGTGCAAAGAATCTTCTTTTTTTTGACTTCTTTTGAAACGTTCAACTTTATCTACCTAAAGATAAAACGTTCAACTTTATCTACCTAAAGATTAAATAATCAGCTTCATAAACATTAAAAAAAAAAATCAGCTTCATAAACATTAAAAAAAAAAGGTTAAACTCATCTACCTAAAATGAAAACTCCATTCTTCTATATTTTCTTTATTTGAAACTTATTTTTAAAAACCTTGTTAGATATTTTATTTATAAAAAAAAATTTAAAAATTTAATTAAAATATCACCTGTTGCATCATGGATCTTAGTAATGCTCTCATCAACTTTATAACAGACTGAAAAAGTCATGAAAACTCTAAGTAACTTTCAAATTATATATTAAATTATATAACTTTTAAGTTACTTTCAAATTATATATTATTATTTCATGTGTATATATATATATATATATATATATATATATATATATATATATATATATATATATATATATATATATATATATATATATATATATATATATATACATCTGTGTGTGTGTAAATAAGATGTTTATAAGAAATCCAGATAAAGCTAAAATGGCTTTATAGGAAACGACTGTGTAATTGCACTTAAGTCAAAATACTAAAGGATTATTATCATCTCACAGGATACAATTTGATGATTCAGTTTCCATTTCAGAAAATTATCACTTGCACCCTATATAGCTAAACAGCCTCAGTGGTTCTGTATTGCATTGCAAGGAGATCATGGTACATAACAATAAATTTCTTTTTTTTTTTTTCTTAAATAAAAAAAATACATACAGTAATAAAACTTATAACAAAAATGTCCAATAGTACAATAGAAACGTAAGAGCCAAAGAACTCTTAGCCAGACCGGTATCCCACAAGAGTATTTAATATGGTTGTGCAATAGGGCGTCTTAGAGACAAAGAATTCCTTTGTGTTATACCAAAAGAACTTGTCCTAGGACATCCCATCAAAATGATTACTGCAAACCTCTACACAAGTACAGACACCATGATAAAACAAAAGTTTTAGTTTTATTTACTATTTAGAAACTATTTTTGAAAAATTTTTAAATTCCATATTCAAAACCACCTTCTAAATTTGTGAATTTTGTTTACGATTATTTGATGATAAGTAATAAAGATCATTTGTTTAAAAATAAAACATAAATTTTGATTCTCAAAGTTTAAAAGAATGTCAAAATCAATGTTCAAATTTACTTTTACTTTTACCTATATTAGGTACTAAACAAGCAATAAACTATATTAGGTAATACTAGCAAATAGTTCTAAACAAGCAATGACCATGTAATGATTATGTAGCCATTACATGGTCATTGATGGTCATTGTTAAATAGTTTTTTGATTTTAGAATTGGATGAAAAATTCAAAAGTTAAAAGACTATTGAACAAGCTTTTTTTAATAGGATGTTAAAAAGACTTGATTTCATATATGTATTTACAAAATAATGCTTCCATATTCATTATATTATCTAACATATGCTCAACTATAAGTCACTATATGTTTTAAACTATAATTCTACTTATTAGAATAAAAATATTCAAATAAATAAAAAAAGAAATAAATATTATGGTCCTCTGGAGCTTTTAATAGGTGAATTTAATTTTAAAAAATGTTTTTTCTGTAACCATTGTCTTTCCATTTTATTTTTTTAATTAATTTTTCTTTTAACATTTTACAAGGTTCACACACATTAAAAAATTACCTGATGCAACTCGTATTGGCGAGATTTCTCTTCTTCGTGTTCTCCTGTTTTTCCATAAGCTAATGCCAAAGCCCATACTGGCAAAATGCTATATACATTGTCACGAATCCAAGCATCGCTGTACTCATGTTTAAGACTAAATTGTGCTCTATATAAACTTGCAGGAAAAAGACCACTTACTGGATGCTAAATTCAAAATATATATATATATATATATATATATATATATATATATATATATATATATATATATATATGTATATATATATATATATATATATATATATATATATATATATATATATATATATATATATATATATATATATATATATATATTAGGGTGGAGCATAAAACATTTAAGTCAATAAAAAAAATACCATAATAGTTTTTCTGGTTTCTTTTGATATCTGTATTAAAAATATATAATTTTTTTTTATGGGTACTCCTATGGTCGGTCCCAGCAATCCGAAATTTTGAAAATTTCTACTTTTTGTAAATCATGAGGGGGGCTGAGTCACTTACAAATATTTCAAAGATATCTTTAAGGTTATTTTTGTAGCCTGATAAATCAAATTTAAAATTATATTTTGTTTTATTGCAAAAAATGAAATGAAATGGTCAGCCCTACCCATTTAAAGATATGCAGTGTATATTCGGGAGTTAGAGGGGGAAAGGTTCAGTTAAAAAAAATCCGTAATTTTTAAAATTTTCATTTAAGTGTAAATAAAAACAATGTCAACTAGCAATGGTTATGGTAAAAAATCTCATTGTGAAGTTTTTCTTGTTGGAAAAAGAATTGGAACAATACCTATCACACAATTGCCAACTAAAAGAACTGTATTGCAATATTACCATTACAGAGATCTTATGCTAAGAGCTGATTTTCCAAACATTTCATCAGTTAGTATAGCTTCATGTCCACTTGGTGATTTCTTTACTGCACAATGTGCTGAAATAGGTGGTTGTCTCCAAAAATGTTTACCATGCATCCTTTACAAGGTGAAGAAAATTTGGCAAAAAGCAGGAATTCCTTTTGTTAATACTGACAAGCATATCAGGTTTTTATTATATTAAAATGCTTTTTAATTTTTAGTTTTATCCAGTTTAAAATTGATATTATACAAGTAACAATTATAAAGTCATAACATTTTATATATTTATAATAAATTACAACAGTTTTAATGCATTCTTTTACTTTTGTTTTAGAGACAAGATTGTTGACTTAGAAAAGAAGAGAAAAGATTTAAACAAACACAGGAACCGTTTAAGTAAAAATTTAGTTTTAAAAAGAGAAACTTTTTCAAGAATGCTAGACTAAGTATTCGATTTTTATTTTATTTTTTACATTATTTTGTAAAATTTTATCTTTACCCAACATTTTCTGAACACACGCTCCTTTCTGGTCGTCAAAACAATGTATTAGCTAATCAGTTCACCAGATCTTTCAGAATTCCAACTTTTGGGTATTTTAATTGTGAAAGATGGCACTGCTGAGTCTCTTGGGAAAGCAATCAAAAAAACTTTACAAGACTGGAAGTTATTTGACTATTTTGATTGTCTGTCCTTTGACACTACAGTCACAAATACTGGTTGGCTAAAAGGAGTCTGTACTCTTATTGAGCAGTGGAGAGGAAAAGCATTGATTTGGATGGCTTGTCGTCATCATGTCTACGAATTACATATAAAGGTAAATATTGAAAAGAAGTCATAAAATATTTTTATATTTATTTATTTATTTAATATTTCTTGATGAATTTAATAACGATTCACCTTATTATTAAAATTTATTTAAGTGATTTGAAATAAATATATTTTAGCACTTTTCAAGTGTTCTTACTGGAGGTAAAACAAGTGGACCAAAGACTGAGTTATTTGAAAGGCTAAAGTGTAATTGGAAATCGATTCTTGAAAAGAAGATAAATTATGATAACCTAAAGAGATTTGACTTGGAAAAAAAAATTAAATCTTTTTTGGAAAAGCAAGTTGGTTTGATTGTCCTAATTAGATTAATCTGTTTGATTATAAGTTTTAATAATAAACCTTCTTTCATTTTAGGCTTCTGAATCATTAACATTCCTTCAAAATTGCCTCGATAATTATATATTTCCAAGAAATGACTACAAGTATTTTATACAGTTAGCAGTTCTTTGGTTAGGTGGCAAAGTAAAAGATTTTCACTTTAGATTTCCAATGGCTTCACATCATGCCAGGTTTATGGCACAGGGCATTTGTTATTTACCATACGACATTCTACAGCCACAATTCAGTAACTTATGTCCTGATATAATATCATTACAAGAGGGAAAGCTGATTCATGAAATTGGTTCATTTACAGCACTATTTTATGTTCCATGGTTTATTAAAGCTCCTATCCCTGCCATAGCACCTTCTTTAGATCTAAAAGTCATTAATGAAATGATACAATATTCTGAATTATGTCTTAAACCAGCAGAGGCTGTACTAAAGTCACTTGAAAAACACAATTGGTATTTAAATGAAAGATTTGTGGTTATGTGTCTTGCTGATAAATGCTTACCTGTAGATCAGCTACATAAATTAGCTCTTAAATTAGCTCAAACAGCAAAGCCTACCAGTTTTAAAATGGGAAAACTAAGTTCAGAAATTTTTACTGACAATGAAAAAAAAATAACAAAAAGAATTGAAGATTTTATTGGTCCTGAAAGCTGGTTTTTCTTTGATTTACTTAAAATGACATTACATGATACAAAATGGCTGAAAATCATTTCATCAAACTGGGAAACATGTTCAGGTTATATAAGATTTAAAAATTATATCACTGGTCTTCTTGTTGTAAATGACAGTGCAGAACGTGCAATTAAACTTGGTCAAGACTTTATTGAAACTTTCCGAAACGAAGAAGATAACCAAGCTAATTTACTGGTTGTTGCAGATCATCGTCTAAAATTTCAGACAACAGAAAAAAAATCTTGGTTGAAAGCTTTAAAATAACTTTTCTTTAAAAAATAAATACAAATGTAAAATTTTTATTTAAAATTGTAAGAAAAAAATTTTACTCCCCCCCCCCACCTCCCAAATATACACAGCATGTCTTTAAATGGGTAGGGCTGACCATTTCATTTCATTTTTTGCAATAAAACAAAATATTATCTTAAATTAGATTTATCAGGCTACAAAAATAACTTTAAATATATCTTTGAAATATTTGTAAGTGACCCAGCCCCTCTCATTATTTACAAAAAGTTTACATTATTTACAAAAAGTAGAAATTTTCAAAATTTTGGACTGCTGGGACCGACCATAGGAGTACCCATAAAAAAAAAAATTATATATTTTTAATACAGATATCAAAAGGAACCAGAAAAACTATTATGGTATTTTTTTTATTGACTTAGGTGTTTTATGCCCCACCCTAATATATATATATATATATATATATATATATATATATATATATATATATATATATATATATATATATATATATATATATATATATATATATATATATATATATATATATATATATATATATATATAAACAATTTCAGTGCTCAATATTCTTAAAAGAACAGAGCATAATAAATTGGTAGAAAATCAATTAACAAAAATTTTTCATTTAACACTCAATAAAGACTCATCAGAAATGAATGATCAAATTAATAAAACTTAAATTTATACCAAAATTTAAATTACAGGAAATCAAAAATGAATAACTAATGTAAATTTTCACATGTTTGTGGAACATGCTAACACTAAGAATTCTTTAGAATTGATTACTTCTGGTTTTTTTTTTTAATATTTTTTAAAGGGAAGGGGGGGGGGATAAAATACAATGATTATTTGAGCTCGCTTATTTTTATAGTTTTTTAGAAGAAACTTATTTTTGTGCCTGCATTTAGAAATCAATTCTATAATTTTTATTAAACAAAAAATTGATATTGATTTCTAATTGCAGACACAAAAATGTGTGAGCATATTCCACAAACATGTGAAAATTTACAGTGGTTATGACATAGATAATGATTAACAGATATTTATAGATAGTATTTATAGAAAAGAGAAAAAAAACAAACATTATGACTATGTGACAATGGTTGAAGTTTGGCTGCAAGAGCAGGTCCAAATATGTTTACAATGTATTTTTGCACCTTGTTTTTGCACCTTCTCTAAAGGAGAAAAGGCTTCATTTGAATGTCTTTTCCAGATGTGGCAACATTATTTTGTACAAAGATGAATTTGTGATTTATAGAGATAAAGAATAGAATCCAAAAAAAGAATGTGGCGAACATGATAAAGAGATGCAAACTAAAGATGCTTAGTTTGCATCAGATGGATTTGATATATGGTTTCCAAGAAGAATCAGAAGAAGGGTTTATTTCATTACAAAAACCGTTTTTTTATTTTTTAATATTAGAACAATATATTGTTGTTATACAATAACATTTTGTTAAGTTAGTTTAATATGCTTTTTCCTTTGTTTTTTTAACATGTAGCTTTAACTTTTTCTGTGCAGTAGATGAGGATTTTGATTTTATTTTTGCAAAATGTTATGTAATAGTTATCTAATAGAAACAGCTGCTTGTCTAAAAATAAACCAATGTAAACACAAAACTTTGGAGAAAGTTTTGCCAAAATGGCTTCCTGAAAAAGGCATTTTTCTGGACTAATTTGGATTTAATTTTCATTTATATGTATTTATAAAATGTGTTTATATTATGTTTATGTATTTATATATGTAATAATTTAATACATTTATGTATTAATAATATATATAATACTATTATGATATTTTTATCTATTTATATGTAGTATTGTAGTATTTATCTTTATGTGTTTTCTATCCCAAGTTTTTTTCTTTAGCAAACTAGATTTTTGGAATTTTTCACCTATAAAATTAAATTATTTTATATACTTTTCTTTATAAGCAATTAGTTTCCTCTAAATAGTTTGTATTATGTATTAGTAAGTATTTTGTTTATGCTATGGTAATAAGCTCATATCAAAGTGATAGTATAATATTGAGTTACAATTAAAAAGGGTAAGACAAGGTATATAGTTCTATTATGAACTATTTTAAAATATCTATTCAATAATTTCATTTCATTTTCAGATAATAAAAAAATGAATAAGTCAGATGTTTGGAATAGTTTAAAATGTAATATAAAATGTTGAGTTGCAAAGGTTCCTCAACAAGCAATCTA